GAGACTTTTAAGACCCATCTGGATGAGATAAATCTTGGTTTCATTCTGACCGACTGTCAAAACTTTAAGAGCAGCCCCAAGACATTCAGGCAACCATCAAATGATGGTGTTTTCATCTATATCCAATGGTTGATGTACTTGTCTCAGCCTTTACACTTTGATGCTAGTAATGTCTTTGTCTCAGGGATCTCTAGGGGTCAATGACAACAAAGACCAGTTAAAATTATCCTATCTGCTAATGGCAGATAATTACCACATTCTTCTCAAAACCATCACTGTCACCAGATTTATTCACTTTATCAGAATTATTATTCTGGAACAGGTGTTCAAGACCTGAATTTCTCCTATTGCAGTATACACGTTTAGGACCAATATGATGTTTGATGTTTCTCATTTCAGGAAAGAGAGTCTCATCTTCTAAACACTAACAGTTTTAACTGTAGTGGTTTGAAAACATGAGAAGAATAAGATCTGTAGGCAAAGATAATGTTGTGTTTGGTTTTTTTTAAGTAGACCAACTGGCAAAGAGTTTTCTCACAGCTTTGCAGCAGTGTCACAGGGATTAAAAACTTTTCTTTCCACTCATAAAAGACATTATCTCTACCTGCAAAATCCTGTCATGCTAACTCTTAGGTCTCTCTCAGTACTTTTCCAGTCATCGGTCTCTCTGTTTCTTCACTTTTTCCTAATGCCATGTAGATTAAATTTTCTTTGCTAAACCTTAACCACACAATCTTGTTATGAAAGTTTTTCAAAGAAAATTTGAAAATTTCAAACTGTTGCTTTAAAAGAATACAAGAAAAATATAATCAGTATCACTCACATAGTCATAAACATTTTTCACTGATGAACTGACAACAAAGAACTTAACTTTTCTCTGTCCTAGACTACTGCATCTTAGCTACCTTTTACTTAAGATCATAAGCATCCCGGCACAGTGACTATCTCTACGTTTCTACTGCCGTCTGTATTTGCCAATGTTATTTTATTAAGAAACATCCTTACTGGCATCACAACGTCATATAAAAACGTTTAAGAAATATTATACAAGTGAAGTCAAGCTATTTAATTGTCCTGTATTCTTATTTTTCAAGCAGAACACTATTTTAATAATCATTCTGTTCTCTTTTCACTTTAATTCAGCAAAAAATCCTGTAATTTTAATGCAGATGTATCAGTCAAAAACTCATTTAAATGGGAGGTAAAATTATACCAATTTTATTCTGAGATTCCCAACTTCCTGAGCTACTGAAACAATCACATCAAAATTAAGCAAGTTTTAAGAATTTTACCTATACTTCTGATGTAGCAAGGCAACTTTCTGTGTCGCTTCTTCCAGTATTTTTTCTTCTTGTAGCCAACCCTTAAGGTAAGACAGCATTTATAGAATGAAATACAAAAAATTCTACAAAATTAAATGGTTAAAGTTTCTTTACATAAGCAAATCCATCCTCCAGTCTAGGCTTGGAGATTAGATGCTGTAATATACATACAAGTATTGTTTTGAAGCGTTTTTACTCACTTTCCCATCGCTATCCCAACCTTCTTTTCAGAGTAATATACAAGAAAATTGAAAAGGTCTTGCAACACTTTTGCTTCTGTGTAATATAAGGTACCATATCTCAGTCCAGTCTCAAAGAAAATCTTTACTGAATTTGATAATCTAGTGAGCAGTAAGCTAAATGGATCATGGAATCTTTACTGATTTGCATTTACCAATCTAACGCAAGATTTAAATTTATCAATTTAAGAATTTACTAATTTAAAGTAAGTACTTACCACTGGAAACAAAGCAAATCTTTGCAGAAACTCCTGAGATTCATACTGATCATAGTCTCCAAAATCAGCTAAAAAATACAAATGTTTGAATAAAAAAAAAAATTCTAACAAAACAATTCCATACAAGACTAATTGCAGCAGGATCTCCCAAGTAGCAAATCTCCATCCTATTGAACTACAATCTGAAAATAAAACAATGTAACAAATTAATCAGTAATGTTTAAGAAGAGGAAAATTAAAACACATTCCACTTTTTTACCTTGTTCAGAAAAATTGCTAATGCTCTTTGTGGATAGGAAAGAAGAAATGTTAACCAGAATGTTGCTCCGGGTTCCTTAGTTCCTTGGAGTTTTATCCGTCTAGTTTTTTGATGATAATACGGTTGAGGTTGGACAGGGCCTCTGGAGATCAAGCCCTAAGCAGGCTCAGCTACAGCAGACTGACTCAGAGCTTTCTCTGGTCTAGTTTTGGATGCAGAGGATGGAGACTTTACCTTTACAGCTTCTCTGGGCAACCTGTTGCACCATCTCACCACTCTCACAACAGAAAACTCTTACTGTATTTAGATGAAATTTCCAGTATTTTGATTTGTACCCCATGCCTAAGATGAGTCTGGCTCCATGTTCTTTACTCCCTCCTGTCAGATACTTAACTACTTGCAGTAATAGCTTTGGCAGACTGCTCTACCTTGCAGCTGGACTCAAGCACTGCACGGAAGCAGCTGGAGCACCCTTCCCTTCCACTCCCAAGCCTTCTACAGCTCCCTGCACCGACACATGCAGAAAGCGGGACGTAGAAGTCTTCACAGACTCAGGGGCATGCACAGAAGGCACTTCACAACAGTTTTCGTTTTAGTAACAGTTTTGTTTCTACATCATGCCATAGGGCATCTCAAGGAATTTGCCTCTTTTTCTGTTTCCAGAAAAAAAATATTCAGCAGTTCAGAAAGAGAAATAAAATGGCTTCAACTGGAAAAATTAGGTACCAGTCCCACAGGAGAAACTGTGGAACCTGCATGGAACAGCTGCTCCCAAAAAATATAAACACAATCACCAAATATACTGATCCTATTTACATTAACACCGATTCTCATCTGTAACAGTATAACTTTAGATACATTTAGGAATCCAGTTTGTATTAACCATTAACAATGAATATGCAAGTTATTTATGATGAAAGAGGAAAACTTGTAACACGCTACACCAACATGGCACTTAAGATAAAGCAGTGTTAGAATTAGCCTACTGTAATTATTTCAAATACAGATCATTCTTGAAACCAGTTCACTCAAAAGAGCAAACAACTGCTTCTGTTTGCTCACCAGCTAAAATTAATTAACCTACATGGTATAAGCTACTTCAGCCATCGAAGCACATGAATTTAGAACCTGCGTTTTTTTTCTGAGTTGTTTTTTCGCTGTGTTATCAACACATACAGTTTCTGTCTTATACAGGACTGAAAAAGGAATGTGAAGGCTAAAAGGATAAATATTTTCCTTCTGGAGAGAGGATTATATTGAAAGATTTCTATAAACAACAAGGTGAGCAGAGAGACATTTACACTGGCCAAAGATATGAAAGTAACAAAGCAAGATATTGTCAATGGAAGACCACTAAACTCTGGCTTGGATTAAATAGATTCACTGTTATATAAACAAGGCACTGACATAATTCACTCTGGTAACCACATTTTCAAAAAACCTAGGCATCATCTTTAATGTGATACTACCATCACATACAATTTAAAAAAGCAACCAAACAAAACCCCCCAAAAAACACCAAACACTTAAGTTTTATGTACTGCCAATGATTTTACGTCCCTTTCAATTTTGGCAGATAACAATTTCTGTTAGATATACTGGAGTGATATTCACCATGAAGCAACATATAAACACGATAACCAAAGCTATTGCCATTAAAAACTTTTATTTTGAGAGACTGAAGACCAAACAAACAAGTTAGCAGAAAACACCAGACATATCAGTGCAGACTTAGGACTGGTGGTTCTCTGAAGTGTACTCCATCCCAGCTGACCCCAGTTAGGAAAAATCAAGCAGTAGGTATCACAGAAATGGATCTTCAGGAGCAATTTGAATATAGGAATAACATACTTGCATTCTAACTTGAAATAATCTTAGGTGTTGTAATGGTTTGAAACCTGCTGCTCCTGGTGGGAGGAGATCTGAAATATAAAACCAGGAGCAAGCCTGAATGAAAGGGGCGCACACCTGTTCTATTCCCACTCCCCTCTTCCTGTCCTCGGCACTTCCTGCTGGGACCTATAAAAGGGGCGAGAAGACACGCCTTGCTCTCTCTTGCTCTTTTGCTCTTCTCCCCGGACACACCCTGCTGCTGCTCTTTGTGGTTCCCTGTGCTGCACGTGGCCGTGGCCATCTTGAAGATCTGGGCCTGATCTACAGACTCTTCCCTGCCTCCATCTACATCCAAGGATTGTGCATCCAGCTTCAATCCACCTCAATCCAACGAGATCCAGCACTGGGGAGCCTCAGCACAGCATTTGGGTTTTGTATATTTGGAAGTTTAATCTTCCTTGCTCTGTTGTTATTATAATCCCTTTACCCTGTTAAACCCCTACCCTTCTTCTTTTCTGTACCCTGTTAAACCCCTACCCTTCTTCCTTTCTGTACCCTGTTAAACCTCTACCCTTTTTCCTTTCTGTTCCCTGTTAAATAATATATTTCATTTTGTTAACTTTCAATCAATGCAAAGCTTTCATTACCCCTGCCTTCATTTAGTTACCTCTCTACCTGGGAGAACTAAGAGATAAGGGAGGTGGGACACAATTCTGCCTTCTAACCGGGACAGGTGTTAGTATATTTAGAGGAAAAATTGGAAATACAACTACTACTGTACATTGAAATTTGCTTATTTATTAAATCACATCTCTTTCGTGTTACCATGTCAGAATAGAGTCTTCATTAACAAAAACAGATGAAAGGTCTGTTGGTGTAAGCAGATGACTAAAGCATCTGCTCCCAAAGAAATTCTGATGTCCAGTTCAAACCCAACTCCTGAAAATACATGTCAGATGCCCCAGCTACACCTCCCAGGACTGCAGAGAAATACCAGCAAGCTCATGGCCACTGTTCTCCCTGCTCAGCCCATATGAAGAAGTTCTAAGGAACATGCCTTTCATGACTTACTGAATTGGGTCTTCCAGCAATAAACAGAAAACGTGCAATAGAGAAATATATCAGTTTCTGATGCTACATGAGCTAATTATCACAGTTGCCTTACTTACCCTGAACAGCTAAACCAGCCAGATGTATTCCTTGTTCCAGTGTGCAAGGAATGTTGCCCTCCAAGATATCTTTCTTTAATTGCAAATAATACTGATACCTACATGGGGAAAAAAAAGAAAAAACTAACATGGGCTTCTTAATTTAAAGAGAGTGCAGATGAATATGCCTGCATTTCCTATTCGTCTCTGCCTTCCCCAGTTTGTGTGGAGGGTAGTCTTCCTCATCATTCAGACCCACTATTTCATAGTCTTTGTTAACTCCTCCCTTAGCTTTCACATATCATTGCAGAACCAAGTACTGCTACTTCTTAAAACAAAGAATCTCCATGATTTCTATGAACTACCTTACCCTCATAATGTTCTTATTTTTACCTCTTCCTTAATATTCTTACCTCCTCTTTACAACGTTCAGTACAATGCTCCTGTATTGCTACATTCTCTTCCAATAGAGCTGACCTTGCACATCCTTTCGATCACAAAGTGACTTTCATTTCTGTGTTACAACTTGAGGACACTTTGTTCTCACTTTCATGGCCCTATTTTTTCCCTTTAATCTGACCTTTTGTCCACGATCTGAACCATTACTTTCTTGAATTCTCCTGCCTTTCAGTCATCCACAAACCACCTTCTCTTGAGCCTCAAACATCTCAAAACTCAAAAACATGCTTACAGCTCCACAAACTTTGCCAAGAATATTTGCCTTCTGTAAGTCTAGATATAAAAGCTTATTCTTAACTTCCTCATATGTTAACTCTTGCAAAGTAAGGTTTTAATAATGAGAATGTGGAAGCGTGTGCTGCAATTCATTCAGGGATTAGGAAGGTGAGGCAAACTCCACACAAATTTTCATCATGCTAAAAGATGGCTCTTTTCCCTCACTATTTAACAGCCTGTTAGATACCGTAACGTTTTACCAATACCATTTAGACTCTTCTTGATCCTACTACAAAAAAGCATTGTGCCATATGACAGTAAATAACATCCTTATACCACACACAACAGAACAGTGGGACTAAACCCAGGCCTTAAAAAAAAGGAAAGGGAAAAAGTCATAGCATATCAAGGCATTTGGGGAAATAAATCTTCCTAGTCAAGCAGCAGAATGTAAGCTCTTTCCATAGAACTGCTCTTAGAAGTAAACATACAGGCGGGTCTTGACACTGTCTCATGATAGTGCAAATGCCATCCCTTTTTTTATGACATTTTTGTTTCCTGGTATACATTAAAAATATAATTTGCTTAAATACACTCAATCTCATTTATATTGAAAAAGCAAGAAAAAATCCACAGATTTCTGAAACTAATACAGCCTCTCACCATTGTACATCAAAGCAAGTACCATCCTCTAGGACTTAAGTATTAGGCTGGCAGATAAATTCTACAGAGCAGCAACTGCAAAATTGTTGTTAAGGGTTCAGCATAAACATCATATTCTTTAAATAAATGCCAGAGAAGAACAGTCAACGTTTTTCAGGCAATTTATCTATTGAACGCAACACTGTGACATTTATTTCACTCTAATGCATCGTCATACACCAACCAGCACAGAATCTGAACAGAAGACTTTTTTTTCAAAAAGACTATTAGAACTACTTTTTAAGCCAGCAAAATTGCTGAGAAAAAGCTCAAAACTTCAAAAAGAAAATAATCTTACAGAAATTACAAGTAAAACAAAAAGTAAAGCTGCCAGACATTGAGCAATTACAGCACTAGTGTCTGCAGCAAGAAGCTTATCTCCTTGAAAAACTTTCACACCACAATTAGTGGGAAAGGTCTCTGGCAAGGTATTTTAGCACTGGAGTATACAAAGGCAGTTTAATGTAACAACTGAAAAAATTATACCCTAAAGGATCTCTGAGTGATCAGCTGGTTCAACTGGCCACTCAAAGCAGGGCGAAATTTAAGTTACTAGCTTAAACAGGTTAATTAATGTAATCACATATTTCTGAAATAACAAATACATGTTTGTTATCCAGGTTTTGTACTCCTTTAGCTGATAAAAGTAATAATTATGTCAGAACAACTATTCACATTAAGACACTAGAAGCCAACGTACAGGTTCATAGGAATAACAGGTCATTATATATGCGCTCAACTTTACTTTTCCTGTGCAGTCAGCACCTTTTTTGTGATGTTCCCTAGATTCACAGTAGAAAGGGGTATATGGTACTAAAGCTAACATCCATCTTCATTGCCCAGTGATACACAAAAAAAAAAAAAAAGTCACAAGCTGAAGGTTATCCTGTAGTTTGCCAACACATTGTACTGAAAGTACAGAAAGTACTGAAAGCAAAATAAATGAAAGCATAGCTCAATAAAATCTGTATGTGCTTTTGTGCAGGATGGACATCCCCGAATGCAACATGTGGCTCTTGGAAACAAAAAAGAGAGACAAACATGAAGGGACTAAAACAATTAAAAGTCTGACCATGCAAGTATGCCTATTACTGAAAACAGGTTTGAATAGAATCCTAAGATCACCAAAAAGTTAGTTGTTTGCTTAGTTTATCACATATTTGGAATATTCAAAAGGCAAATAAATACACAGTTTGAACATAAATTCTGTCTAAAGTGATGATTTTCATTTCTATAGAGATGAGTGAGCAGACAATTTTTAACTAAACCATACATATCAGAATACTGAAAGCAAAATTACAGACACATGTATGAAGTCTACCTGGTAATTTCCTGCTG